TTTCTTCAGAATGCATGTAGTGTTGGTCAGATGGAGCTGGGCACTAACCAATTAGCCATAATAAAAGTTGAGAGTCAATGAATGTGGACTTGTGGAATAGTAGCAGCAGTTAAATGAGTTTGGATTAATTTCCTATGTTAACTAGCCATCTGTCGGCAGGGCTGGGGCGGCAACGGCGTCGAGCCGACTGTACAGACCTTGCCGGGGGGCTTCAGTACCAGGGAAACAGAACTGGCTTCTTCCTGAAAAGAGATATCATTCTGGATTAGTTTTCTTCAGAACAGATTAAACCATTTCTGTTCTACCCGTTGATAAGATTTCAGTTGTTCTATCTCTTGATAAAATTTCAGTTGTTTTACCTCTTCTCATGCAGAGCAGGGAATGTAAGTGGATGGTATTGTTAATCCCAAGCCAAGCAGTATTAGGCGAACACTTTCTCCCGTTTTCTGAACTGCAATGCTTGCACACTACTTGGTTTTTGGTTTTGCCTCATCTTCCACACCGTGATGCCTGCAAAGTGGCCTGGTTTGCGAGTGCTGAAATTCCAATGAAATTCCTTTCTCTCATCAACTCTTTGTCGAAGATAGCATCGGACAGCACCACCCCAGATGCCCCTGCCTCCATGTACGACTTGATCGAACCTACGACAGTGGCCATAGCATCAGAGTGAATAGTATCATACAGCTAACCGATATTTACGCTTTGAATAAGTCACTTAATTACTCTGTATCTTTGAAAGAGTCTCAGTGTTATGAAACATGCACTTGGAGGTTGCTACTTAGACACCAACAGAAGATAGGGACGATATTCGCAAAAGAGGAAAATGAAACAGGGACGATGGGTGCTAGATAAGGCGACTTACCTATGGTAATTCCTTGCGAAGCAACCATTGGTACAAGAGGAAATGGTTTCTTTAGAGCAGACATGTACATCTCTCCACCCATCACCGAAGCTGGGTACAGCTAATTAAAGTAGACCACACAAACAACCTAGTGTCATATGCCTATAAGCAGAACGGAGAACTAACACATTTATTCATCACAAAATAAAGTGACACATTTTGCTAGTTAGTATGCAACCAAAATTGACGTAAAAAAGTACATTGTTTTCCAATGTCTGACAAAAGTTATCATCTAATATATTGTTAATGCTCTGATATGTCTCTACTATAACTAAAAGAGGAGAGGTATAAGTCATGAAACCTTAACGACTTTAGCACCAGCATTGCAAGCAGATATAACCTGCAAAACCAAATACAACAAACATGTGAGAGTAAATATTAGGCCGCACTACTCTAAATTGCACCAATAAACTTCATGCAAGTTTATATGTGGTATGTGGTACATACCTCAGTTGGTGTCAGCACTCCTGGAATATACAGAACTTCACTTCCATCAAGATCATTAAGTATTTCCTTAAACAATAGGATTGAAAGAATCGATTAACATTTATATACTGTATAGGATACAAACACTACAATCACCAAATAGCAGATGACAGATTTCTATTAGATATGTCGAAGTAATTGAAAGCCAAGGGATAGAATGACCAACATTAAATTATTGGCACCCTAAAGTCTAAACTACAAGCCTATAAGGATCTCTAATATCAAATATGTTACATTGCCAAACTGTACATGGAATGTCCCTAGTGATGTGTATAACCAGTAATCACAGACTATGGGAAACATGTGCATATCTAGCAAAATAAACATTATTACAAATGCAATAGTACTAACTCCTACCATGACTGTGCCAGGGCTCATGAGAAACTGTGCACCAGCTCTAATGGCTTTCCTTGCATCATCAGCATTGAGGACCGTACCAACCTAAATACAGAGTGCAGAAAGATCAGAATGCATCATGAGCAACCTAACATTGTTGCTTATAGTTAGCATACAGGGGTTGTGCGGGACAGCTTTGGTGGAGTAGTAAATTGTGAGTATTACTTTCCACAAAACACAGTGGGGCATTGTGACACTCACATGGCAAGTTTAAAAGTTCAGGTGTAAAGATTGTAAAAGCCATGGACATGGTACTTTGTAATAAGAGTATTACGTTTTTAAGATTATATAAAAAAGACCAGACACTCACCCCAGATATATAGTGGAGCTAAAAAGCAGGTAGCTGACAAGCCATATGTTCAGGGAATGATGCAAAAACCTACGAAGTAATGCCAGAAACTCACCCCAAATGTCAAGGAAGGGTAACTCCTACGAAGATCCTCAACAACCTGTTAGAAGACTTCTCGATCAATCAAAAGCTAGCAAGCCGCAATGATAATGGTTAAAGGGCAAAAGTTGCAGAGGAATTGTGAGAAAGGCCCACCTCTAGCACTCCAGGAGTGGACATCACGATTTCTAGCTGAACAACATTGCATATGTTTGTTGGCACCAGGACAAGAAAACAAAACACCAAATTACCAAAACAATGCTAGAAGGTAAAGAAAAAGTCTAGCATGGATGGTTCCTCCTTTGCAAGCAACAGGCAAGGAGATACAAGCTCAGTATGCCAGAATACTCCTTTACAAACAAACGATAAATACAGAACAGAGAGCACCCTACCACCCCACACGCCCAGCAAAAGCAAAGAATTCACCGGAGCAACTGACTCACCACCGAGACGACGCCGCGAACGGCCGCGTGGGCCGCACTACTAAGAAAAGGGCTATAGATAGGATTGATACTAATGGCGCACCTGGTAAGCAGTGCGCCACTACTATATACTAATGGTGCACCGTTCGAAGGTGCGCCATTAGCGTGGAAGAAACTAATGGCGCACCAGGCACACGATGCGCCACTAGTATTGAATTTTTTTTTCATTTTTCCATACACTCTAATGGCGCATGGAGACAAAGTGCGCCATTACTAGTTCTACCAAGTAATGGCGCACCCTGTAAGCAGTGCGCCTTTACTATATAATTTTTATTTTACTTTTTTGCAAAACTGCTAATGGCGCACCGTGTATATTTTCATGGACACTTTTTGATCTCGATCTCGATCCCACCCGCACCCTCCCCCGCTAGCTCCACCGCCGCCGACGACCCACCGCAACCCTCCCCCGCTCCACCGCCGCCGACGAGCACCCGGCCCCCCGCACCCTCCCC